TCATGAACATGTCTTTTGTACTGCGCCTGCCACGAAAATGCATCTTTGCAGATCCTCTTCAAATGTCCCATGCCTGCCATCATTCTTGGAAATGCTACAAAACCCTCACGTTTTGGTCACTTTTGACAAGGTGCACAATCCCTTGCGCCTGCCACGCGAAACGACATCTGAACCTCCAAAAGTGGCGCGAACATGTGATGTTTTGTACATTTTGACTTGGAAATGTGCTTCGCGCCACAACGGCGTGCGCTTTTCCAACATCTCAATTTCCAAAAGTGGTCCGAACGTGGTGTGTTTTGTACATTTTGACTTGGAAATGTGCTTCGCGCCACAACGGCGTGCAATTTTTCATCTCTCATCTGGCCAGCTGGCAGCGGACCCGCCGCTTTAGCGAGCCTACTTTTCGACCCTCCGGAGCCACAAGTCATTGGAAAAACACAGTGTTTTGCGACTTTCCTACCTTTTCGCGCATCTGCATCTTCTTTCTTCTGACTCTTTCTCTTCTACTCTTCTCTCTTCTAATCTTTCTCTTCTCTCTGACCCTTTCCATCTCTGCTTTTCATCTGTCCATATTGTCGGAAGTTTGACTTCTAAACTTCCTTCGATAAAGAGACAGCCTTTTAGAGATCTTGTACAGAGATCTTGCCAGCAGGTCTCTTACCGAAATCTTGCCAAGAGAGCTTTTATAGAGAGCTTGTACAACAGATGGTGAGGCGTTCGCTTGTGACGCTGTTTTTCTCGTCACCTGTGACGCTGTTTTGCTTGTCGTTTGTGACGCTGTTCAAGTTGTTCCTTTTCATCATCACAACCATCCTTGTCATAATCATCATGGTCATCATGATCATCATCGCCATCAACAGCAACATGCATAAATAACAATAATAATCATGGTAATAATAACAGGTAGTAATAATACTAACAACAATAACAAGAATAACAGAAACATAATCATAATCATCGTCATCGTCATCATCAGCATCGATTCAGCATCAGTATCATCATCACATTCTTCTTCTTCTTCTTCTTCTTCTTCTTCTTCATTTTCATCATCATCATCATCATCATCTTCATCTTCATCACGACGTTCTTCTTCTTCTTCTTCTTCATTCTTCTTCTTCTTCATCTTCTTTTCTTCATCAAAATCATCATGATCATCATGATCATGAACATCATGATCATCATGATCATGAACATCATAATCATCATCACCATCAACAACAGCATGCATATATCATCATGATCATCATCATCATCACCATCAACATCAACTTGCATATTTCATAATGATAATAATACTCATCATTGTAATAATAATAACAATAAGAATAATAATAAAATAATAAAAATAACAGTAGTAATAATTAATCATCATCATCCTCATCACCACCATCATCATCATCATCATCGTCATCATCATCATCACCATCATCATCATCATCATTATCATCATTATCATTTTCATCATCACCATCATCATCAGCATCATCATCTGCATCTGTGATTCCTTGATATTTTCTTTGCCTACAAGACCCGAAGCATGCAAGAAACATCAGTACACATGACATCACATATGTGAAAAGGTTGTAATGATGGCAAATGTAGCCGTGGTGCATATTTCTCAGTGGTGATGGCACATTTGAGGATCATGAGGATTCTTTTTGTTATGGAGGGTTTTAAAGAGTACGGTCGCCGGTTAAGTCTATCAGCAGGATTGATTGAGTTTGCGGCTGTGAGCTACTTGCAAACAACACTGAAACTCATAGGCGCAATTTTGCGCTGCATTAGAAACTTTGAAAGAGATCTGATCGCGTAGCATCATGTCGGTGTGCAAGTGCAAGAGAAGATTTCACAGCCTAGCGTATAGTCCCCGTGCCAAGAGCCAAAGGACGTTATCACACACAGCCCACCCCCAAACCTTCAAAGGTCAAACCATCGGCTTTGCCAAATTTACGAGATGATGGGAAACCTTATGAAACACTGGCCCCCCCGGCCCCAAAACACTAAAAGGTAAAACCATCGGAATTGTCAGGTTGGCAACATGATGAGAAACAATGCTACACCCTAACCCCTGCTCCACCGCAAACCCCTAAAAGGTGAAACCATCGGCACTTTCTATTTTGCGACATGACGAGAAACATTAAAACACCCTACCCCACCCCCACCCCAAAACCCTAAAAGGTAAAACCATCGGCAGTGTCAAATTTGCGACATGATGCCAAAAGCTGAGAAAACCCTACCCCCCCCACCCCAAAACCCAAAAAGGTAAAATTTGCGACATGATGAGAGACATTAGTATACACCCTACCCCACCGCCACCCCAAAACCCTAAAGGTAAAACCACCGGCAGTGTCATATTTGCGACACAATGCCAAACCTGAGCAAACCCTAACCCCACCCCCGCCCCAAAACCCTAAGAGATAAAACCATCGGTATTGTCAAATTGGCGACGTGGTGAGAAATTGGTATACACCCTAACCCTCCACATCCCCCCACCCCAAAACCCTAAAAGGTAGAACCATTGGTATTGCCAGGTTTGGCACATGATTAGAAACGCGCTTAGACCCACTCGCTCCCACCCCTAGACCGCAAAAGGTAAGACCAGTGGCATTGTAAGGTGCCTTTGTGTCTCGTTGATGTACCGCCAGGCACGTAGTTAACGCGTAATTCAGAGAGCTTCAGAGGACTCTTCGTCGCAAGTGATCGGAAATGTTTTCGTCGCAAGTGATCGGCACATGTTCGTCGCAACTGAATGGCAGACCTCAAGAGATCTTGCCATGAGCCCTCTCATAGAGATCTTTTACAGAGATCTTGCTTAGAGTTCTCTTACAGAGATCTTGCCGAGAGAGCTCTTTTAAAGAGCTTGTGCAGAGATCTCTTCAAGAGATCTTGTCAAGAGACCTTTGATAGGGAGCTCGTACAGACAGCTTGCCAAGAGACCTCTTTCAGAGATATTGTACAGAGACGTTGGTAGAGATCTGTTCAGATCTTGCCAAGAGGTCCCTGACAGGGACCTTGCCAAGAGAGCTCTTTTGGAGAGCTTGTGCAGAGATCTCATAAAGAGATCTTGCCAAGAGATCTCTGGCAGAGGTCTTGCCAGAAGACCTCCTATAGAGATCTTGTGCAGAGACATTGCATAGGGATCTGTTGCAGAGACCTTGCCAAGACGTCTCTTACATAGACCTTGCCAAGAGAGCTCTTATAGAGATCTCGTACAGAGATTTTGCCAGGGGACCTCTTAAATAGATCTTGTACAGGGACATTGCGTGGAGATTTGTTGCAGAGATCTTGCGAAGACGTTTCTTGCATAGATCTTGCCAAGAGAGCTCTTATAGAGATCTCGTACAGAGATTTTGCCAGGGGACCTCTTAAATAGATCTTGTACAGGGACATTGCGTGGAGATTTGTTGCAGAGATCTTGCGAAGACGTTTCTTGCATAGATCTTGCCAAGAGAGCTCTTATAGAGATCTCGTACAGAGATTTTGCCAGGGGACCTCTTAAATAGATCTTGTACAGGGACATTGCGTGGAGATTTGTTGCAGAGATCTTGCGAAGACGTTTCTTGCATAGATCTTGCCAAGAGAGCTCTTATAGAAATCTTTTACAGATACATACATTGCAGAGAGATCTGTGGCAGAGATCTTACCAAGAGGTCTCGTACACCAAGAAGTCTCTAACAGAGATCTTTCCGGGAGATGCTTTTTAGAGAGCTTGTGCAGCAATCTTGCCAAGAGACCTCTTGTAAAGATCTTGTGCAGAGACTTGGTGAAGAGAACAGGGATCTTGCTCAGAGATATATATATCTTATAGAGAGCTTGAACAGAGATCTTGCTTTGAGATTTTCTGCGGGGGTCTTCTGTGGAGATCTCTTACAGGCACCTTGTGCAGATAGCCTTACAGAGGGATCTTGCACAGCAGCTTCCACACAGAACCTGTCAAGGAGATCTTGCACACGATCTTCTACAGAGATCTCCACAAAGGAACTTGCAGAATCTTACGTGGTATCCCCATATCTCTTCTTCAAGTTCCTTGCAACACCGTTTGGGGTCTCTTGTCGGGATTATTTTTTTGTAAGGCAAATGCTTCAGTGTTTGTTTTCAAATATGTGTATAGTTTTCAACTCAAAAATATCTTCTTGAGCTCAGCACCTGAGAATATAGAAAACGAAAAAAGGTCGGTAGATCCAAGCAGAATCCATTTTGCACTGCGTTGGCCCAATTCAGACCCGTTCTTGGCTTTTTGATAAATAAATATATAACTAAGTTTAAACAAATAAATTAATATATATATATATATTATATATATGTATGCTAGGGGCTGATCTTGGGAAGAACCTGCGCAGACCCACTCCCACCAACTTCACCCTGCCCATTGACAGGGCTACCTGGCTTCAAGTTCAGACCAGTTACCCACCCACACTTCGAGGGCCAAGGAGAAGAACAACGAATCAAATGAATACAGTAATCGCCCGGACATGGGACATGGGAAAGAAAAACCTAACAAGATCAGGTGCCACACCAGGTGCATTCTTGGCTGAAAAATGCACCAAAAACATTCGAGGACCACATTTTTTGGGTGAAGAGTGCACCAAATGCATTCCAGGGACATTGTTGGATGAAAAGGTAGAAGCAAAGCATCAACCAAACCAACTGTTTTTCTAGTGTTGGGGTTCTTTTCCATTTCGCAAAAAGGAAAAAAAGAGGGACATTTGGTGAGATTTATTTTGTGCAAAACTCTGAAAATGGTCAAAAAACAAATGCAGAGACCCAACCCCTGTGCATGCATGCCTAGGGAATTTCTCAAACCTATGCAGATGTGGTTAGTTCCCTTGATTTTATCATAATTATAGTGGAAAATGGACTTGGGTCATCAAAATATATTACTGACCTTTCCCCACCTGGCCTGTACGTACCATCCTGTACCATCCTGTACCAACAAAACTCTTTCTGTGGGTTTTGCAAAATTTCCTTGCGCTGTTATGCGCTGTTTGCCCTGCCGACAGGTTCTTCTAAAAGCTGAAAATTCGCTTTGCCGCTTTGCCTCCTTTTTGGCGTGCCATGGCGACAAGTCTTGAAACAGTTCAGAGTTTGAAGCATAAACACCACATTTGGGTAAACTTGCATAACTTTGCTGCATCCTGTTCTGCACTTCCTACAATTTACAAACCAATTTCTTAAGCTTGCCTGTGCAAGCACTCTAATCCCTTCAGGACATTGCTACAACCCGAACTTCTTGCTGACGATTCGAGGAATTGGTCAAGTCAACGGGCTGCCACACTGGTTTTACTAGGTCCGATGGCTACATACTGGTCTTCCATGGGTCTTCCATGGGTCTTCGATTCCATGGGTCTTCCATGGGTCTGCCAGTTTCTTGCTTGGATTTGCCCACCAAGAGGTGGAGATTCTCCAACAGCTTTGAGAACTACCAGACAGGCAGATAAAGCATGGCATGCAGGACAGACAGACATCAACCTTACAGGACACCTGCGACGAAACTTTGCTAATTGAACTTTATTTTCAGTCTCCTAGACTTTATTCTTTTGCGCTTGTGACATGCCCGTTGTGTAACATCAGCACTTAGAATTTCACGTTGCTTTTGAACAGGCAAAGGCCGCAGCTGTTTCGTTACGCTCCTTGGATATAGACAGATTGAGCGAGAGAGAGAGAGAGAGAGAGATATTTGTGGTGTCACAATATTCTGCAAATACTGGAGCATTGCCATGTTAGTCTTTTGTTTGGATTGACAACGCCGAAGATCCACCCGCTTTTCATTAGAGTATAATATTCATTTTCCTTTGAAAACTTTCAGGTGCCGAGATTGAGACTCACAAAGTCGAACTGTGGAGAAAGCTCATTCGTGAGTTTTCTGCTTTGCGCTTTGAAGTTCAAGCGTCTGTTCTGCGAAACTGCGTGTCCTGAAGAATTTAGGTGATGTTTTCTGGATGTTCAAAGTTAGGATTAGTTTGCTCTAGTTTGCTTGTGTATGACTTGCATGACTTTTTCATACCTTTTCTTGGCTGGGAGGCTGATCTTCTGTGACTCAGGTGCAACTGTCCTATTTTCTTCCGCTTGATATGGAGCGCTGGGCTGAAACAACTCATCAAGCTTTGGCAGGCGCGCAGTCTGCAAGCCTTGCATTTCTTTTATTTTGCCACTGAGGTGTTTGCAAGAGTTGGTCTCGGAGGCGCTGTATTTTACAAGCCCCAATGGGTCAGCAAATGATGCTGCGTTGCTCGCTAGATTCTCAGAGGAATGTTGCTCATGTAGACAGATGGGTTTTTTGTCAGACACCTGCGACCTTGCATTCTGCCAAGGTCACGCTATGCTTTGTCGCAGCCAACAGAAGCCCGCAAAGAATTGCAGTTTGTTGATTTTTCCAAAGCATTTTGCTCTAGTTACATCCAGTTGCGATAGTTCATTCTAATTCCAGTCTTTGATTGTGTTTGTTTGTGTTTAGGTTGCAAAACATTCTAATTGGGCACGCATGGGTAAAGCAAGCTTGTGTGCCTGCTTGGCAGACGATACCTATTACCAAGCCCTGCAAGATTTACATGGCTTGACAATCTTGGTCACTGGCATCTATCTACAAATCGACAAAGCTTTTTGAACCAATTGCGGCAATTGCTTGCTTTCAACAGCTTTGCAAATATGTAAGGTGGAGCATATCCGGAGGATTTTCCGAACCTTGTCTTTGTTGTCAGCGGCACTTCTTCTGAAGTGAAGTCTGTGCCTGAATTGAGACGCACTGAGAGAAAACGCCTCTGAGACAGCCTGAACTTCCGCAGAGCTTGATGCACGCATTTCCACCAGGACTTTGATGGATTCAAGATGGGAGCGATGGCTGTGGCAGGGGTGCTGCCAGATGGACATTTTGGCACAGTGGATTGTAGACTTGGAGCTGTCCAAGATGTTCCAGGCGACGCACAAATTCAAACTTAAAACAACAAGATTTCCAAGGCAATCGAAGTTCTGAGGGGCATCAATCGAATGAATTGGCAGGTGGATGCATTTTGTACCATATGCGTTCCTTACAGTCAACCGGAAAGCGTTTCCTGTTCACAAGAAGCTCACAAGACAACCACAAGAGCAAGGGGTTGGTTTCTCATTTTTCTTCATAGTTCTCAAAGTGTTGAATGTCTTTCAAATGTGTATACAAAGAAGGGTAGAGAATTTAGCAGAGATGTCGAAATGTGTCGTAACATTCTCAAATATTTCTGGATCCCTCCATTTTTCTGACTTCGCGGTTTCTTGCGGGTTCATCTGATTTTTTCTTCCCCCTCTCTCTCTCCCTCTCTCTTGCACTCTCTGTCAAGTCACTTTGCTCTAGGAAGGCGCTTCTCAAAGCGTTGAGCACCTCGAGCCAAGTGAAACTGAAATGGATCTACACCGTCTACACAAAGGTGACCAGAAAGTTGATCCTTCATCTCCTCTGAAGATGAGACTGCAGGAGAATGGGCAGCTATCATTGCCGTTTAGTCTCCCGTTTCCTTAAGAGAGACGCCAAAGTCATGCAAAGTCTTACTTCTGAAATCCAGTTGTTCGTTGTGAAGAAATCCGCTCAGTCTCCTGGGTGGGCATGCTCAGCGTGATTCATGAGAATGTTTGATGGTGTATTGAGCTTGTACTAGATGAATATCGAGCAATAATGTTTGAATTTGGGTGTGTGATGCAACGATCGCTTTGCCAGCAGGATCTGGTACTTGATGCCCCGAATCAGTTCCAATGTGCGATCAGTGCACAGCTCATGATGGATCCGGTCCAAACACCAGAGGCACTGCAGGCTTTTTGTACGTGAAAGGGTGTAAAATATGGCAACATGCTATTATAGGATGGGAGACTTTGCGCAACTTACCACAATGCACGATGGACATCCATGGACTGCATAATGCGTGCAGAAGCTTTGCGGCCGTTTTAGTCTTCATTTTGTTGCAGGGCTTTGTGATGGAGCGGAGTGTGTTGGCAGACGCGCTGAATGCTTCAGGTGGCCTGTGCCCTCTTTCAGGACACGTGTATGCTGTCTCCAGGTCTACCCAAAACCATTGGTCAGCTTCCTCTGGAGAAACCTTCTGCAGACACAGAGTCCACTTAAAGGTATGGGCTTTGTTACACCAGTGCAAGAGGCACTTGCTAAGAAATTGTCCAAAATCGTGCTACCCGGTGCCTTGGATGTCTATGCGAGTGACATTCAGTGACCATTCCTGCGACTCACTTTGAACATTTCTGAATATTTTTGAGCCTTTGAATTTCGAGTACAATCCATCCAGAAGGTTCGCTCCAAGGCTTTGTTTTCACAGCGCTGAGCAGAGGAAACCGCTTGATCTTGACCGACTGTCCTCGGCAGCCAGATCTGCGTCGCAGGACACTTCTAATTCAAGGCTCTCTGTTGCCATCCCTGCTCTTTTTGATTCAGAGGGCAACATTATCCTTTGATCATGCTGACGTATTATTGCAGATTATTCCACTCTTTGCAGGATAACGAAATGGATCCGCGAGCAAAAAACGGTCTGCAAGATGCATTTCTTTCGCATCGCGTTTCAAGAAAGCAAAACACAAGACCCTGCATTGACTGTGCATACACAGCGCTTAAGGAGGGGCAAAGCATGCACAGAGTTTCTTTCAGCTGAGGCTAAGATTGCTTGCCGCCAATGAAAATGCAGCGCAGGACCTGAGTGCAAGTTGCGGATGAGATGGTGGTGGTACAAGAGCCCAATCCTCATGTCCATGTTTTCAATTGTTTTCATCACCCTTGAAAAAAGAAACTGTAGCATGCTTGGATTTGACACAACCACCAGGCCATGCCCAAAAGGGAAACCAATGCAAATTTTGTGTCGTTGCTTTGCCTAGAATTTCATTTGATATGGATCAACATGTGAGTCACAGTCAAAATGGTTGAAGACCACTTTAGTATTGCAGCATATTGCAGCAGTTTTTTTGTGGTGCAAACTTGTTTACAAAAGGAACACAAACGAATGCATGCTTGTGGATGGCAGTTTGATATCTTGAAACCTAAGGTGATTATTTGACTTGCTTAAAGTGTCAGGTGATTGAGGTTTGAATTTAAGTCGCCGATTTTGGGTCAAGAACTTTGTTGATTTTTCGCATGCGCAATCTCAAACGAAATTTACGCGAGTGCCATTTCATCCCACCGTGGGCCTCCGGGCAGCTCCCTGCGTTTTATGCATTGTTGCCATCTTCTCTGTCTCCTCAGCATCTTCGACCAAGGCTGGCTATGGTTTACCAACTGCAGCTACTCTTACCACTTTAGACACCGTGGACAGGATGAGAACTTGGTGCAGGTGCTCAGTTCAAACGTGGCAAGCGGTAGATACTCATCTGGGAAAAGTGCCCGATGCGACCTTGCTGGCAATGCTGCCAGCCAGTTCCTTGAAGGGTGGCCCATCAGACCTTGGGCATGTCAGACATAGATCCTCTTGCAGATCCTGTAGCGCCAGTGCCAGCTCAGGGACCCGCCAGTCCAGCAGCTACTTCGAGCAAAAAGATCAAAGTGCCCAACGTCACAGACTAGATGGACGACACAGAGGGAGATTTGATGTCCAGGACCGAGATCGATCAAACTCATTTGTGCCATGTTCAGATGACTGGGGCCGAGCCGGCCGACGAATGCGAACCAACTGGCGAACAACTTGCAGCCATGCGGGACCGCATTGTCAAAAGGGGGGCGTCCCCGTATTCCGACTTCAGCATTCTGACCCCTTACAGTCGGACAATGCAGAAGCAGCGGAAGACCTGGTCGCTGATGCAACAGGATGGAACATTCAAGGCGCTGGACGTGCCACACCAAGTTTCGATTCTTGGAAGGCTTGCTGGAAGGTTTTTCGATCCATCCTTTTGATGCTACGGTATCCGGCAGCAAATCCAACCAACGAGCCCCTCAAGGTCGTGATGCAAAGTCTCGAGGAATATTTCGAGCGGATCAGCAAATTGAACGCCGACTATCCAGAAACATGGCATCTCATGATGAGAGCAGAAGACAAATGTCGATCCGAGATGTTCAAGCGCTATCGGCGCCATTTGACCAAGGCAGCGGGTTGCCGATGGGGCTGGAGTTCAGCCCAAACCAACCATGGATTGGAGTCTTCACTTACGCAAAACAGAGCCCAAGAAGCCAAAGACTGGGGGTTCTCCGGAACACCCGCGAAAATGGGGCAAGCAGTAGGTCACCAACAGCGAAGGGCAGGAACTTTGTTTCAAATGGGCCAAGGCCAAAGAAGGTCAAGCAGCAGTGGCGTGCCCGGAGCCATGCCAGGACCATCGTGCTCACAACTGCCAGATGTGCCTCGGAAGGCATCCCAACTCCGAATGCCCACAGCGAAAAAGTGGTGGTGGAAAAGGCAAGGGGAAGTCAGGATTCAAGACCTGACGCCAACGTCGCTTTGTTTTTCTGGAATTGTTGTCGGAAAGGCAGGCTTGACGCGAAGTGTGGAGCGAAGATGCGCGGAGTTGGTAGATGGTGAGAGAGCTATGGGATTTTCTAGAAGAGTGGAACATCTTGGAGGATGCAGACTTCGAGAGAGCTTACAAGGAAGTAGCAGAGGCGGACCATATGCACATTGCATGGCCATGCTGAGGTTTCACAAGGGCAAGGAGGTCAGATCACCTGGCCAACGTCCCAACACTCCGGTCAGATTCCAAACCGGAGGGTTGGGGCCACCCAAAGTCAGAAGAAGGAAACAAAATGCTGGAGAGTGCTGGCCTTGGTGCAGATCATTCGAGAAGCAGGGGGCGCCTTTTCTTTGGAAAATCCAGAATCCTCCTTTGCGTGGTTGATGCCAAAGATGATAAAACTCCTCCAGGTGCCCGACGTGAAAACAGTGGGGCACAAACACCAAAAGCCTACTGCCATCGTGACTTCGGCAAGTTGGATGCTGCAAGTCAAACTCAGGTGCGGCGATGTCCGTCCTCACTATCACGTTCCAGGAGGGCTCCAAGGTTTGTCTTGGGACCCGGTTTCAGAAGAATATGTATGGCTCACCTCCAAGGCCGCAGAGTACCCTTGGGGCTTGTGCGATGCTTGGGCTGCGGCTTTGCAAGGCTGGTTGTGCAGTGCCGACGGAGAGCTTTGGCTACGACGGCGCACCTTGTACAAGACCGGGCCAAACCAATTGGTTCGCTTGGAGCAGTCGGAGCCGGATGCCTCTGCCAAACCAACTCCTGCAATGCAGCGCTCCAAAGCAGAACTGCGGGAGGAAGAAAATCTAAGGTGCACAGGAGGTCTTCGGGACCCGCGCCGTGCAGTGGCCAAAAGTCCATCTTATCAGCAGGTTGGAAGGAGGATTCGGCAGGCCTTGGACCTGTGTGTGTCAGAGGCAGCTCTTCTTCGGTTCGAAGCCGGCGAGGAGATTGAGGATGCACTGGTTCAACAGGCCAGACAAGCTTTGCATGCTGAATTTGAAGTTAATGAAGTTTCAAATGACGAGGGGTACCACACAGAGCTCCTCAAGTCCATGCTTCACTGTGCAAGTGATGCGGATGCCGTGACCCCACCGAATGGTTGGAGCAAGGGGTGCCACTTGGGATCTTTGTGCAAATTGAGCACGCGGGAATTTTCCCAACAAACAGATGCATTGTCGGCGGCCATCAAGGCCTCTCCAGCATTCTCCAGCTATGGGAGTGCTGTTTGAAAACTGTGATGGTGAGGCACAAAATTATATACTCATCGTTCTATGACTTTGGTGAAAAGGCTCAATCTGAGTTGGACAGGTTGGTAGAGACTGGTCGTGCAGACAAGGTAAGCACTTGGGAAGAGGTGGTGGCCCTGGTCGGCCCGCAAGCCAAACTAATGCCGCTAGCCTGCTTAGTGAAGAGAAAAGACTGCAAGGAGAAGGTGTGTCTGGTGGTCGACATGCCTCAGGTCAGGCATAAAACGGATGCATGAAACTTTTTGAACGTATCACGTTGCCTAGGATCTTCGATGTCTCCCTTTCTGCGCAGGAATTGTTTAAGATCAAGACACCCTATGAACAACTTGAATTCCTGGTCATAGACTTTTCAGACGTAGGTTAGATCCAAGGGAGCGGCCATGGGTGTGTATCAAAGGTTTGGACGGTCCCTATTACTTGCCTAGATCAGTTTGTTTTGGTTTAGCATGTGGTCCACTTTTATGGGGCAGGTTAGCTTCTGCCGCCATGAGACTTGCACAGTCCACTGTGGGGGGGGCTGACGCACGCCTTCAGCGTTTCGTAGATGATCCCATCCCTCCTCTCCTCATGGCAAATCAGGCACTGTGATGCGGGTTGTGTTGACTAATTGCGGCGGAAGAGCCAAACCCTCCGCCAATCTAGAAAGCCTATCAGCCTATCAGCCAAAACATTCCGCACCCCTGGGATATGCCGTCCCCAAAGGGCATTGATGCAGTGCTTCTACTTCAATTGCTAATTCCTGGAGTGCTATCAGACTGTACAAGAATGTGCAAAAGTTTGGCTGGCACCGCTTTAGAAAATAAACGGACGGCAACAAAAATACACAACAGCTCCCACTCACTTTGATATGTGGGATCCTGGGTGCGCGCTCCCCCTCCTATCACTGCGCAATCAGATTCCCGAATGGTATGTGCATAATATGCAGCTGGCTGACCCCCCACCATCAACACCGCACCTAAACTTGTAGTGGACGCATCGGTGATGATGCTAATTGTGGGGAGGCCAGGGGACCATCTATACAACCGGGCTAACGGCTGCACTTGGCTCCCATCTAAGAAACACCCTTTTGCTGTGACCATGCGGGAAAGCCATGTGAGGGCATGGTCAATTTGACTAACGTCAAACCATTCCTATGGCGTGTCTTCTCCCCTACAGGCCCAGTTTCTGTGATTTGCTTGGACAAATCCACAGCTGCCCAGAGCTGAGCCACCCATGGCCTAGCAGCAGGAATGATGTGGGCAACCCATGCAAACAAACCACACAGGCGTTCAAGGTTTTTAGTGGGAACCATACCTTTAAAAAACCAAATCTCCTCAAAAGGCAGAAAGAATCTTGGCAGTCTTATCGGGAGGAAGGGAAATCTTCAGGTCACGGCCCACGGCCCCTTGGACCTCAATCCTGGCCCCAATCCAATCAACCGACTGACCACGCTGGGATTTGTGCCAGGCCAACTTGAAACCAAGTGCCTGCCACAACAGGAGACTTTGGAAAAAACCAAATGACCTAAACCATTCCTCGTAGGTCAGCAGTTTTGATACCAGGTTCAAAAGTTCCATGTGGCAGCGGCGTGGCAACGGCAAGGGCAAGTTTGACCTCGTTGCAACATTGCGCGGTCACTGAAAATGGAGGGGCATCAGCCGCCAGTACTCGAGCTTGCAGTGTGGCTTGCGGTATAGATGCCTTAGCGAGTCACACGAGTATGTCCAGTTTTGGTCAATTAAGCTCCTCTGATGGTTGGATAGTTGGAGAAGCCTCCCAAGTGACCTGCCACTTTTCTGAAGGTGATGTTAAAGCACACTGCGAAGGGGAAGGTGGTGAATCTGTTTCCACTTCTTTCAGGCCGTCCAGAAGACGACCTGGGGCGCCATTGATGCCTGCAGTGCAGAAACGTGCGAAAGGTTGCTGGGTGAAGCTCTTCAAGTTGCTGGAAACGTTCACGCATTGCGCAAAGCTCGGGTGGATTATGAAGACGCGATATATGCGCCCCAAACCCTGGGTTCAAAGGCAGCGATGCGTTCCACATAGAGGGCTGGTTTCGAGTCTCTTCCACTCACACCAGGTTTTGTTCACACTGTATCAGCCGTTTTGAAGTCAGCTGTGTATAGAGCAGCGAGCTCTTACCTGACTGAAGCGGTGCAGTGGCACAAGAGATCTGGTTTTGTCATGGGTGAAGTGCTTGAGAGTGGCATAGCTGATGCAAAACGTTCGCCAGTTCGAGCCATTGGTGCACCTCGGAAAGCTGCAGAGGTGAAACTGGAGTGGCTGGAAGCATTGTTTGCTCGAGGTGCAGACTTCCAGCGTGGGTGATGCTGCAGGATGTAGACCTTGATTGGGTGTCAAAGCAAGTGACTTTGTGCCTTCCTGTTTCAAAGACGGATCCTGCAGGCAGGAAGAGGTTGCAGACGCACCTTGAAATGCTTGAACAGTCACACAGCTTGCTCAACTTGCCCTTTCTGCATGGCAGCCCGCCTGGTTCAAGGACAAGTGGCTCGTTTGAACATTTGTGCAGATAGTGAGTTGGCGTCAAATGTTCCCTTAGTTGGCAGATATGATGATCCTAGTCGAGTCATGTCGAAGGCTGACTTGATGGAAGCTTTTAGGTGGGATGCTGGAGTGATAAAGAATGAAATGGCAGAAGCAAAAGATCCGGTTCCGTCGGGTGTCTGTGGACAAGGGGGAGACAAGTGTAAACCCATGCGGCCCAAGGAACCCAGAGTGGGAGACAAGTGGGCGACAAGTGGAAGACATGTGGGAGACAAATGTAAACTCATGCGGCCCAAGGCACCCAGAGTGGGAGACAAGGGGGAGACAAGTGTAAACTCATGAGGCCCAAGGCACGCAGAGTGGGAGACAAGGCGGCCCAAGGAACCCAGAGTCGGAGACAAGTGTGGGAGACAAGTGTAAACTCATGCGGCCCAAGGCACCCAGAGTGGGAGACAAGGGGGAGACAAGTGTAAACTCATGCGGCCCAAGGAGCCCGAGATTGGAGACAAGTGTGGGAGACAAGTTGGAGACAAGTGTAAACTCATGCGGCCCAAGGCACCCAGAGTGAGAGACAAGTGTGGGAGACACGGAGGAGACAAGTGTAAACTCATGTGGACCAAGGAACCCAGAGTGGGAGACAAGTGTGGCAGACAAGTGTGGGAGACAAGTGTGGGAGACAAGTGGGAGACAAGTGTAAATTCATGCGGCCCAAGGCACCCAGAGTGGGAGACAAGGGGGAGACAAGGGGGAGACAAGTGTAAACTCATGCGGCCCAAGGCACCCAGAGTGAGAGACAAGTGTGGGAGACAAGGGGGAGACAAGTGTAAACTGATGCGGCCCAAGGAACCCAGAGTGGGAGACCAGGGGGAGACAAGTGTAAACCCATGCGGCCCAAGGCACCCAGAGTGGGAGACAAGGGGGAGACAAGTGTAAACTCATGCGGCCCAAGGAACCCAGAGTGGGAGACAACTGTGGGAGACAAGTGTAAACTCATGCGGCCCAAGGAATCCAGAGTGGGAGACAAGTGTGGGACTCGTGTAAACTCATGCGGCCCAAGGCACCCAGAGTGAGAGACAAGTGTGGGAGACAAGTGGGAGACAAGTGTAAACTCATGCGGCCCAAGGAACCCCAGAGTGGGTGACAAGGGGGAGACAAGTGTAAACTCATGCGGCCCAAGGTGGGAGACAAGGGGGAGACAAGTGTAAACTCATGCGGCCCAAGGAACCCAGAGTGGGAGACAAGTGTGGGAGACAAGTGTGGGAGACAAGTGTGGGAGACAAGTGTGGGAGACAAGTGTAAACTCATGCGGCCCAAGGCACCCAGAGTGGGAGACAAGGGGGAGACAAGTGTAAAGTCATGCGGCCCAAGGAACCCAGAGTGGGAAACAAGTGTGGGAGAGAAGTGTAAACTCATGCGGCCCAAGGCACCCAGAGTGGGTTGGGAGCGAAGTGGGAGACATGTGTAAACTCATGCGGCCAGGGCATCCACAGGGAGAGACAAGTGTGGGAGACAAGGGGGAGACAAGTGTAAATTCATGCGGCCCAAGGAACCCAGAGTGGGAGACAAGTGTGGGAGACAAGTGTGGGAGACAAGTGTGGGAAACAAGTGTGGGAGACAAGTGTAAACTCATGCGCTCCAAGACACCCAGAGTGAGAGACAAGTGTGGGACACAAGTGGAAGACAAGTGTAAACTCATGCGGCCCAAGGCACCCAGAGTGGGAGACAAGTGGGAGACAAGTGTAAACTCATGCGGCCCAAGGAACCCAGAGTGGGAGACAAGTGTGGGAGACAAGTGTGGGAGACAAGTGGGAAACAAGCGTAAACTCATGCGGCCCAAGGAACCCAGAGTGGGAGACAAGTGTGGGCAACAAGTGTGGGAGACAAGTGTGGGAGACAAGTGTGGGAGACAAGTGTGGAAGACAAGTGGGAGACAAGTGTAAACTCATGCGCCCCAAGACATCCAGAGTGGGAGACACGTGTGGGAGACGAGTGGGAGAGAAGTGTAGAATCATGCGGCCCAAGACACCCAGAGTGGGAGACAAGTGTGGGAGTCAAGGGGGAGACAAGTGTAAACTCATGCGGCCCAAGGCACCCAGAGTGGGTTGGGAGCGAAGTGGGAGACATGTGTAAAATCATGCGCTCCAAGACACCCAGAGTGGGAGACAAGTGTGGGAGACAAGTGTGGGAGACAAGTGGAAGACAAGTGTAAACTCATGCGGCCCAAGGCACCCAGAGTGAGAGACAAATGCGGGAGACAAGGGGGAGACAAGTGTAAACTCATGCGGCCCAAGGAACCCAGAGTGGGAGACAAGGGGGAGACAAGTGTAAACTCATGCGGCGCAAGGAATCCAGAGTGGGAGACAAGTGTGGGAGACAAGTAAAAAACAAGTGGGAGACAAGTGTAAACTCATGCGGCCCAAGGCACCCAGAGTGAGAGACAAGTGTGGGAGACAAGGGGGAGACAAGTGTAAACTGATGCGGCCCAAGGAACCCAGAGTGGGAGACCAGGGGGAGACAAGTGTAAACCCATGCGGCCCAAGGCACCCAGAGTGGGAGACAAGGGGGAGACAAGTGTAAACTCATGCGGCCCAAGGAACCCAGAGTGGGAGACAACTGTGGGAGACAAGTGTGGGAGACAGGTGTAAACTCATGCGGCCCAAGGCACCCAGAGTCGGAGACAAGGGGGAGACAAGTGTAAACTCATGCGGCCCAAGGAACCCAGAGTGGGAGACAAGTGTGGGAGACAAGTGTGGGAGACAAGTGTGGGAGACAGGTGGGAGACAAGTGGGAGACAAGTATAAACTCATGCGGCCCAAGGCACCCAGAGCGAGAGACAAGTGTGGGAGACAAGGGGGAGACAAGTGCAAACTCATGCGACCCACGGAACCCAGAGTGGGAGACAAGGGGAGACAAGTGTAAACTCATGCGGCCCAAGGAACCCAGAGTGGGAGACCAGGGGAAGACAAGTGTAAACTCACGCGGCCCAAGGAACCCAGAGTGGGTGACAAGTGTGGGAGACAAGTGTAAACTCATGCGGCCCAAGGCACGCAGAGTGGGAGACAAGGCGGCCCAAGGAACCCAGAGTCGGAGACAAGTGTGGGAGACAAGTGTAAACTCATGCGGCCCAAGGCACCCAGAGTGGGAGACAAGGGGGAGACAAGTGTAAACTCATGCGGCCCAAGGAGCCCGAGATTGGAGACAAGTGTGGGAGACAGGTTGGAGACAAGTGTAAACTCATGCGGCCCAAGGCACCCAGAATGAGAGACAAGTGTGGGAGACAAGGGGGGGACAAGTGTAAACTCATGCGGCCCAAGGCACCCAGAGTGGGAGACAACGGGGAGACAACGGGGGAGACAAATGTAAACTCATGCGGCCCAAGGCACCCAGAGTGGGAGACAAGTGTGGGAGACAAGTGGGCGACAAGTGGGTGACATGTGGGAGACAAATGTAAACTCATGCGGCCCAAGGCACCCAGAGTGGGAGACACGGGGGAGGCAAGTGTAAACTCATGTGGCCCAAGGCACCCAGAGTCAGAGTGGGAGACAAGGAGGAGACAAGTGTAAACTCATGCGGCCTAAGGAACCCAGAGTGGGAGACAAGTGTGGGAGACAAGTGTAAACTCATGCGGCCCAAGGCACCCAGAGTGGGAGACAAGGGGGAGGCAAGTGTAAACTCATGTGGCCCAAGGCACCCAGAGTCAGAGTGGGAGACAAGGGGGAGACAAGTGTAAACTCATGCGGCCCAAGGCACCCAGAGTGGGAGACAAGGGGGAGACAAGTGTAAACTCATGCGGCCCAAGGAACCCAGAGTGGGAGACAAGTGTGGGAGACAAGTTTAAACTCATGCAGCCCAAGGCACCCAGAGTGGGAGACAAGGGGGAGACAAGTGTAAACTCATGCGGCCCAAGGAGCCCGAGATTGGAGACAAGTGTGGGAGACAAGTTGGAGACAAGTGTAAACTCATGCGGCCCAAGGCACCCAGAGTGAGAGACAAGTGTGGGAGACAAGGGGGGGACAAGTGTAAACTCATGCGGCCCAATGGACCCAGAGTGGCAGACAAGGGGGAGACAAGTGTAAACTCATGCGGCCCAAGGCACCCAGACTGGGAGACAAGGCGGCGACAAGTGTAAACTCATGCGGCCCAAGGAACCCAGAGTGGGAGACAAGTGTGGGAGACAAGTGTGGGAGACAAGTGTGGGAGACAAGTGGGAGACAAGTGTAAATTCATGCGGCCCAAGGCACCCAGAGTGGGAGACAAGGGGGAGACAAGTGTAAACTCATGCGGCCCAAGGCCCAAGGCGCCCAGAGTGGGAGACAAGGGGGAGACAAATGTACAAGGGGATTTAGAGTGGGAAACAAGGGGAAACAAGTGTAAACTCATGCGGCCCAAGGCACCCAGAGCGAGAGACAAGTGTGGGAGACAAGGGGGAGACAAGTGTAAACTCATGCGGCCCAAGGCACCCAGAGTGGGAGACAAGGGGGAGACAAGTGTAAACTCAAAGTGTAAACTCATGCGGCCCAAGGCACCCAGAGTGGGAGACAAGGGGGAGACAAGTGTAAACCCATGCGGCCCAAGGCACCCAGACTGAGAGACAAGGGGAGTCAAGTGTAAAATCATGCGGCCCAAGGCACCCAGAGTGGGAGACAAGAGGGAGACAAGTGTAAACTCATGCGGCCCAAGGCACCCAGAGTGGGAGACAAGGGGGAAACAAGTGTAAACTCATGCGGCCCAAGGCACCCAGAGTGGGAGACAAGCGGGAGACAAGTGTAAATTCATGCGGCCCAAGGGACCTAGAGTGGGAGACAAGGGGGAGACAAGTGTAAACTCATGCGGCCCAAGGCACCCAGAGTGGGAGACAAGGGGGAGACAAGTGTAAACTCATGCAGCCCAAGGCACCCAGAGTGGGAGACAAGGGGGAGACAAGTGTAAACTCATGCGGCCCAAGGCACCCAAAGTGGGAGACAAGGGGGAAACAAGTGTAAATTCATGCGGCCCAAGGAACCCAGAGTGGGAGACAAGGGGGAGACAAGTGTAAACTCACGCGGCCGAAGGCACCCAGAGTGGAGACAAGGGGGAGACAAGTGTAAACTCATGCGGCCCAGGGCACCCTGAGTGGGAGAAGGCACGCAGAGTGGGAGACAAGGGGGAGACAAGTGTAAACTCGGCACCTAGATTGTGTGCAAGCCCGGAGACAGAGGCAAAATCATGCGGCCCAGGGATGCAACCCTTTGAAAGGAGTAAGAACCCCATACAGGTAAGCCTGTTTGGGGAATGAATGCAACATGAAAAGAACATGAAAAGGACATGAATGCAAAATGAAAGCAACATGAAGTGCTGCCAAAGCACCTGGAACGAACAAAACAACTCCTCGATCGATTTCCGAGCCTGTTTAGGAAGGGATTTTGGTTTCATGTTGGATCTTGAACATGTTCATTTCTAGGTCCCCCCCCAAAAGCGATAACCATAACAAGAGCAACTACTCAGATGTAAAGGGTTTTGACGGGAGCTCTTTATCCCACTTTGTGAGAATCCTGTCCAGTCTGTCTCGGATCCGTGAGCCGAATTAAGACGGTGAGACAATGTCAGACAGAATCTGCCAGGATATCCTTGAAGCACTGTCGGGCCTTGTTGCCTGCCTCCGCGGCAGTGATGAAAGCGAACGGAAAGACTTTCTACCGCAGGAGTCCTGGAGCTATGTCCATCAGCATCAGGACAAATTCACCAAACATCGCAGTTATGGAATTGTTGAACAAAGCATTGCTGGAATAGTTGGACAGGGAGAGAGAGAGATTTGAGTTCCATTGATTGCAAAATTTCATCCTCGGCACCTCGTGCATAGACGGTGCAGCAGCATGCAGCAGCTAATTTAAGAGATGCTGTACATCAAAGTGTGGGTGGAAAGGTTGCTGGACAAATTGGTGACAGCGCCGAGAGCAGTGGTCCGCAGAGAGGCAAGAGTAGATGGAGCAGCATGCAATGAGTGAGGCATCATGAATGGAGTGCATGCAGCGCAGCAGTATATGGTAGTCGATGGGAATTCAACTCGATGCCACCGGTCTCTGGGCATTTGGTTCTGTTGTTTTGCTTTTCTCAACTTGAATGGGCGAAATTGTCCAGTTGACACTTACGGAATATGACCATGCCTTTTGTCCACTACAGATTTGAGCCGTTTGAGCTATCACAGTGAAACACTCACAACGTCTTGCAACAAACAACAGCTTTGTGATACTTTGTGCTTCAGGTACTACGTTGGTCTTCAGCTCTTTTCCCAGCTTCAGCCCCTGAAGGCCAGTGACAGAGCTTTGCGGCTTGATTAAGCCGCGAGTCACCGCAGAAGAGGTCGATACTATGCCCTGCGACTTTTGGGAGACAAGGAGCATTACGCTGACGCAGAGCAAGTGGAGTTATGTTTGCAATCAAAGGCATGTGAAAGAATATCAAAGGCCTTGCGTTGCTTCAGAGCCTTGAGCTGGTCTAATTGCTAAAAGGCATCCTTGAAGGCGTGTACCCATTCTCCGTATTCATTCAGTTCTGCGTCCAGGATGCTGACCTCGCGAAGGCAAGGGAAGTGCCAGGGGCACAGACGACGCTTGAAGAGTTTTGGCTCAGGCTGCTGAGTCCTCGCTTGCAGCCGGAGGGAATGAGGCGCTGGATGGGCACTGGATGGTACTGGATGGCGCTGTTGGGGACATTTCCGCAGGGATAGTGGGGCTCCAGGCACCGCCTTTCCTGGCTATGTGCAAGTTCCTTGCCTTTCGAGCTCTTGGAGATGTAGATCCAGCAGAGAGGCCAGGAGAACTTTTCTCACTTAGGCGAGCTCTTTTGATCACTGTCTTGAATCACTTGTGTATTCTTTTCCTTGGAAACGATGAGAATGTAATATGACAAGTAGAGATTTCATGAATAATGTGAGATTTGCACAGAGAAACATGCAAACTGAGCTGAGGCTGCTTGTGCAGGAGAAGGCAGGCTATGTACTGAGACTTAGCATGATTTAGCTGCTCCGATACATGGTAGCCTTGAGCTCGTCATGACTACAAAGCCTTCAGCACGTTGGAGGTATTAGCAAGAGCTGGAATGCCACCGCTAGCAGCAGGACAATGACGTACTCAATAAAGTAGATGAAGTATGATAAAGTAGTAAGTACTTGAACAACAACTCACTTGCCTTGACCTGACTTGATCTTGAACCATCTTGAACCATCTTGACCTCTTGACCCATCTTGAATCATCTTGAACCATCTTGAACCATGTTGAAGCTTCCTACATTCAGACGTGACGAGAGTTGCTAATGGGGCGAACTGGAGTTGGTCAACGAGGATTTACATGGGATGACCTTGCCCGAGCACTGACGTGGCCCGAGTTTTTCCGCGGCATGTCATTCTGTTGTCTCACATATGCTGCAACTCTTGTTACTTCGTCATGTGACGGAAGATCAAATCTCCAAGTGCGTAGCTTTGTCTTCGAGTAATCATGTATGCGCCAATTCGTGTGCACTTCGGGCATGCCACTTCTGCGGAATGAGGTCTTTCCTGATAAAGCTCGCAGAAGCCGAGGGTCTGGAAGCTGCAGTTGAGGCTCGACTTTAGAGTGCCAGATACACTTTTCATCATTTTCCGATCTCCTGATTTTGATACGACTATGCCAGGACTGTGCGAACCCACTTTAAATCCAGTTTTGAACGCTTTTGCATCATTCTGCTGGGCCCTCCCAATCCAACAGCTTGACTTATGCTCAATGGATCTTAATGGTGGACCAGATACTTGCTCCACCTGAAAAGGTTTCTTTCACAAAGTCTCTAGGTTTTCTCAGTTTATCCTCCTTCCTGCTTACAAATCTCGATTGGTTGGGCATGTAACTTTGATTTGACTCTTCCGAAAGGGCATACTTTGTTGAAATTCATTCTGTTTCCCGTGTCACTGCTGAGGGCTGGAGGTTCAAACTGATCCCCATTTGTAATGTTTAGGCATCGGAAATTCTCTGCAATCACTGACAGTTTCAAAATCCAAAACAGCATCGTGGAGACTTCAAAGACATCCAAAGACTTCAAACAATCTGAGTCGGGCCATGAGACCACCTTGTCGCTAACAGCGTCATATTTAGGATAGCAAGTCTGGAATGCCTGCAGCAAAGAAGTTGAAGGCTCAGACGCATCATGCACACAGAGCTGAGACACATCGGGACATATCGGGACATCTGAAACCTTCCAAGGCCGCGCTTGGCTGGGGAAGGAGCAGCCGGAGCAGCTGTAAAGTCCTTGAGACCGATTTTGACCGAATTGTGACCGATTGTGATTGTGACATACTGTGACCAATGTTTTTTCAGTTTGGGTTGCTCCACAGATCTTGGCAGTACTCAGGTGTTCCTGGTGATGCTGGACTACATCCTTAGCACAGCAATTGAAGGCGTGGGCTTAAGGTTGGTTTCACATGGTTTTAAAGCCAAGGATGCAAGCAATTCCAAGCGTCTCAAGGAATCCCTGACCAGGTAAACCCTTCACCGTCACGGATGAGATCGTGGACGGCGTGACTTGTTTGGAGTGCGCCTCCAGAGCCGAGCGGAGCTGCCGTGTTACACGCAGCTAAGCGCAGTCTTGTGGCAAGATGTGGCAAGGCTCGCACTTCGTGGACTTCATCTTGCAGCAGCTCTCTCCAAAGGCATCCGGCTTCACCGACTTCGACTTGGCTTGCGGATTGCTGTGCCATATAGGAATGCTTTGGAATGCTTACAGCGGTTGTTCAATATTCTTTGTGTCTCCATTCGCTTACCAGTCTTTTCATCAGTCCTTGGCATATCTTGGCATTTGTCTTTGGCTCTTTGGCATCAGTCTTTGGAATCTGCTAGCAGTAAGCATTTTTCACTAACTTTCGTTGCTTTGTTCACCGCGAAACGACGAAGGTCACGATGTTCTTGGTGCTGTGCTCGCCTTTGCATGTCAAGTTCAACGTGAATTGACAATTGTGCGGTCGATAGTCGATAGCAATGATAGCAATGATAGCAGCCATACCGATTCTAATTCTCAAGGTGATCAAGAGAGCAGAGGCTCTCCTGTTGGGAGGCCTGGAGCAGAAAGCATTACAGAGGCATACGTAGTTTCTACAATGTTTCTACTGTAACCCTTTCGAGTTAAAGAGACATCTTATTCCCCAACAGCGTAAGCTAATGGGGTCTTCAGCCCAGAATAGCTCGGGTGTGCACTGGTGCAGGCGCCCGGTCAGGTTCAACGAGGTTCCGGAGAAGGTTCCGAAGGTTCCGGAGAAGGTCTGGGAGGCTTTGGTGCAGAGCCAGGTCACGTTCAACGGAGAAGGTTCCGGAGAAGGTTCCGGAGAAGGTCTGGGAGGCTTTGGTGCAGAGCCAGGTCAGGTTCAACAAGGTTCCGGAGAAGGTTCCGGAGAAGGTTCCGGAGAAGGTTCCGGGAGGCTTTGGTGCAGAGCCAGGTCAGGTTCAACAGGGTTCCGAAGAAGGTTCCGGAGAAGGTCTGGGAGGCTTTGGTGCAGAGCCAGGTCAGGTTCAACAGGATTTGCGGCCATTTAATTCACGGAAATGTTTCCAGCGGTTGGCTTCGCAGCACGCTTCAGAAAGATTTGTAAAAATACAACGTTGCGGCTGTTGGGGATACCACCGAAGCTTTTTTTCCTTGAGGCCAAAAGCAATTGCTTGCACAAAGAAGCTTAGATACAATGTACTGCCAGGCAGTTCTTGCTTACGTGGAGGGCGCAACGGCAACAAAATGAGTCTGCTACCGAATTGGCTGAAGCAATGTTTGCAGCGCTTCATTTGGCAAGTCAACTCTCAAGCATTGGGCGTCGCGTCAAACCTCAAAGGCTTGTCAGGAAAATCATGAATTGCTGTGCGCAGGAAGACTTGGCGCCCGTGTTCTGGGTGCCCTGGCCAAACAAACACCAGGCCGAGTTTATTCAAAGCAACACTTTCCAGACACATTTGAACAAACATGTCAATCTTTGTTCATTTTTTTAGACATGCATCGTTCCATCAGATTCCATCAGGGACAGCCACTGTCTGGCTTCAGCAGCTTGATGCCTCTCTTGGTGCTGGGGGCTTTGTGTCGCTGATACAGATAACAGGTGTTTCATGCAAGCTCGGGTACATTGAAGCCATGCCAGACTCTAGACCAGACATGGCAAGACTGTATGCAGACATGCCAAAACATCTAAAGCATGACAGTATTATACATGTGCAATGTATATGTATATATATATATATAATATGTATACTGCGTCAACTCAGGATGCAAGTCCAGAAAAGCGAGCGGCAGCCGCTCTTTCTGTCTGTGAACTTCTGCGCGAAGGTGCTTACTTTCATTTTGCAAAAACATTCTAAAACCATGCATGCTTGCGCTACTATTGTGATTTGTTTCAAAGCTTAGTGTTCTTGATCTTCCACAAGATTTCGACTTGTCAAACCTTTTGCTGGCTCTCCACCAATGCACGCGCACACACACACATATATATATATATTATATATATATATATATTTAGACTAGTAGGACTTTCGTAGACAGTCCGACTATGCACACGCTGGGTTTAAGCTCAAGCTTCTAGGGTTGCCTCCCCTCGCCTCGAGGGGCGCTGGGGGAGGCCGGATCCGTCTGAGGACGTGAGAGTTGTCATGCCAGTGACAACCAAGAGTACTTTCAACAACTGACCTTGCACAAGGGCGAGCTGGTGGAGACCCACCTGTATGATGACACTGGTGCACTGCAAGGCTTTGGTCTGTCGGACATCCGGGAGCAGGTGGAACGGAAAAAGGAAGGCCTATGGGCCCGGGGCCGGCTGATAGGCGCGAATGCCCCAACTGAAGGGCGAAGCGTGGCAAACAATAGAAGAAGTCCAGTGGATCGGGCGACAAGAGGAAGCCCGCTGCGGTAGAGGCCCAGCCCATGTGGTTTGGGAAACGTAAGTTTGTTCATGAGCCTCGCTCTGACGAATCGAGCGGTTCCTCAAGATCACTTGGCTGGCGCACGGCGCATGCAAGTTCTATAGATGAGAAAGGTCTTATATATATATATATCTTTAAGGCAACTTCCGCCCCGCCGCGTGCGGGTACTACTGGTATATATATATATACACATATATATATATAAACACACATATATTTATATAATATAGAAATATGCACGTCGACACTTGTGTTTCCTTTGTTCAGCCATTTTGCAGTGGTGCTTCCTCAACAAGTTGCGTTCCCCGCGCGTCCTTTGCAGGAGTCACTACAGCCGAGCCTGCCAAGATGTGCCAGAAGGTGCACATACGAGAGCGCAAGTGCCAAAACAATGCAAGGGCGAGATCAGGAATTCTGAAGTTGTCCTTTGGGTGGCCCTTGGGTCTGGTCAATGCCCAAGCATCCGACATGGTTTTACTCGGTGCAAATCGGGGCCCTGCATCTGGTGTTTTGGAGCACTTGTTTTGCCGTGACCAAAAAGTAAGATATGTCTCTCATCACACATGTTGCATGCGGTTTGCTGCGCAGTCAGACAGGGCTGCCCCTTTGCTACCAGAAACAGCAGGATGTACTGACTCCCAGGCAAACAGACGATAAACATGTTCAGCACATGAGTGTCACAAACACTCAGCCCGACTTAGCCCCTTTCTTTGACAGCGATAAAGCGTTTGTTTTTTTTAGCCTTTCACATTGCTTACATTGCTTCGAAAAAATCAAGATACTTTGTTTATCTTTGTTTATTTTTTCCACAGTCCAGAGCGCCAAAGCTTGGCGGGCAGCTTTGGGATATGGGTGCAGTATCTTCTGAGCGTGATATGTAGTATATACAGTTGGGTTGCGTTTACTTGGGTACCAAGGGAGCAGCATCTCCCTGCTCCCCCGTGTATTCCACAGGATAATAACGGCTATTTTGCCAAGCTATGCCTACATACTTCCTTGGTCCCAATGTTGAAAGCAGGTTCTTTCCTTTTTGATTGCTCCACAAATAGATCCAGCCGGGCTCCAAGGGTCTTTGAAGATGGATTGTCCAGTTGATGTGTTCAGCAGAGACGCTTCGGGCTGGGCTCATTATCGAAAATACACTCTGGAGTTTGAAAAGTCTTGGCAGTTTTTGAAAAGATGTCTCCATGTTTCTGCTGGGATTGGGACCAATTAGCGTTTCTCAGGACAGCGCTGCGCTGACCGCCGCTTGTGATGGACTTCGGCGCTTGAGCAGCTTGGGAATGAATGAGGGAGAGTTTTTCAAAGTATGTATGTATGCGTGTATGTATGTATGTATGTATGTATGTATGCGTGTATGTATGTATGCGTGTATGTATGTATGCGTGTATGTAGGAATGTAATGTATGTAATGTATGTAATGTATGTAATGTATGTAATGTATGTATGTATGTATGTATGTATGTATGTATGTATGTATGTATGTATGTATGTATGTATGTATGTATGTATGTATGTATGTATGTATGTATGTATGTATGTATGTACTGTATGTATGTATGTATGTATGTACTGTATGTATGTATGTCTGGTACTTTTATTGTATTGTAGGTCTTGTATTTCAATTTATTTATTTCAATGTATTTCTTTATGTAAATTTTGTACTGTAGTGTAATTTATATTCATGTATTTCCTTTATGTATTTATTTAGTAATGTCATTTATTTATGTATTTCTGTCATTTCCTTTCTTTCTAGATTTCCTGTTCAATTTTGTTCACATGTAACTTGTCTTTATTTCCTTTCCCTTTCCTTTGAGTCTTTCTGTTACTTCCTTTCTTTATTTCTTTGCTTTCATTTCTTTTGACTTTCCTTTCTCTTTGCCTTTCCTTTCTTTGATTTAATGATTTCGCTTTCCTTTTCTTTATTTTCCTTTCGTTCCTTCTTTCATTTAGCTTTCCTTTCTTTATGATTTGTAAGCAAATGTATGTATGTATGTAATGTATGTAATGTATGTAATGTATGTAATGTATGTAATGTATGTAATTTATGTAATGTATGTAATGTATGTAATGTATGTAATGTATGTAATGTATGTAATGTATGAATGTAATGTAATGTAATGTAGTGTAATGTAGTGTAATGTAATGTAATGTAATGTAATGTATGTAATGTATGTAATGTATGTAATGTATGTAATGTATGTAATGTATGTAATGTATGTAATGTATGTAATGTATGTAATGTATGTAATGTATGTATTGATTGTATGTAATGTAATGTAATGTA